TGTGAGCAGTGCATCGTACCTACACTATTAACAATGGTCCTTTTCTTGCTAATGTGACTGCACCTAAATTCAAACCTTACTATTCTCATCGTAACTAATATTTCATGTCCTCCGTTCCTTCTGCATCCTAATTACCCCAGCAGGGTTTATTTTGTGATAATGACCGGATGACTGTACATTATTAATGAGCAACACTGTCCTCTATTATTTGTAGATAGCCTATTGATTGGGAATCGTTTATAGGCAAATTAAATCCAATAAGTAACTGCACAATCCAATCAGTGCCAGAGAAGAGGAACATCCGTTAACATCACTCAACCTTCTGCTTTTAAAGTAATTAAGTCTGAATGTAGTAATTAGTCTGTAACTCTGCCTGACATATAAATCACACACATTTAACATTATCCCCGGTTCTTTCTTCTGCACTTCCTCATCGGTGTAAGTAATACAATAATAATGATTCGTATCAAAGTGTGACTTGAAACTGAGCACACAAGTTTACTTTCACAGCAAACCGCATTGTTCTAACTGTGAACTTTGCTAAAGATAAAACAGGCAGTACGGGTGGTCAAAAAAAAGAAAGGTCCAGGGAATACGCACTGATATATCTAACCAAACAAACCTTCATTTTGATTTCCAAATCAAACATAACCTCATCGAAGTAGTATGATCATTTAAAAAACATCCCAAACATCTGTAACAAATCAAATCATAAGAGGATACGGATTTCTTGCTAGAATCTATCAGGCCTTGAGTAATCCGTGCACATTCTGCATGGGAAAGAAATGATACAAAACTAAATATTTTCAATACTGTCATTGAAAATTACAAAAGAGGCCATACTGAAATTCTGCCCGGCCAAATCTGTTGCACTTTTATGTTTAAATAATCATCCCTGACAACTTGGATCTATATGTTCACATGGACACCAGCGCAAACCTGCTGGACTGCCATTGACATTAAAACAAGAAAAACATAAATGTCAAAACTATTTTTTCACACAGAAACCAGGACTACAAACCTCTGGGCCCCTGTACAAACTGCAATTGAACTTAACAGCACTTTCAAATCTAAAATAAACAACATTTTAATGCTCACAATTAAGAAATGAGACAAAAAATGTGAAATGTCTTGGAAAAAAGTGACAGGGCAAGAAATAGAGACCGTTAAAAAAAATCTATGACTCCCTGTCAACATTTTTTAAAACCATGGGGAAAATGATTTAAAATAGATATGCATGCAAGACCCTATCCATTAGTCTGATGACCAGCTCATAGCCTGACCTGACATTAAACCTGAAACACAAGGATTTGGTGCAGCTGAGAGTGAAAGTGGTGCAGTTTTGACCAAACATGGAAACATCATGTTTAGCAGTGGATTATAGTGGATACCTTTCTCAAATGCTCAATCCGAACCTCATTTAGACTTCACAAGAGAAACGGTAAAAACAAAATGTGTTCAGGTTGCTGCCTATAGCTACCAGTGATTATCTAATTATTTTTACAAAATCAGCTCATTTAACAGTTTTTAGAGCAACAATTAAAATGAATAAGTGGTATTTTAAGGCTGGATATCTCTAATAAAGGGATAGTTCGCCCAAAAATGTAAATTATGTCATCATTTACTCACCCTCTTGTTGTTCCAAACCTGTGTGACTTTCTTGCATGGAAAACAAAAAAGAGATGTTTAGCAGGATGTTCAAACTCTTTTCCATAGAATAAAAAGTTAAGGATCAAGGGTTTTCAAGCTAAGTTTTTCATCTAATATTTAATTTTTTTAAATTTTAATTACCAAAAATGACTTTTAAAAGTTTTTTGTTAAAAATAGCAACACTGATGTGGAATAAAGAAAATTTGAAAACTTTGCAAAGACATGGGTGAGGAAAAAGATTATATTTTTGACTGTCTAACAGTTTAGACAGATGCTCAATGGTGAAAGTGAATCCAGGATTATATTCCAGCACATTTTATGATTTGTTATATATAGTCAATTAGTTTAAATCTGCAAGCTAGTAATAATAACAAATAAATGCCCTCTTTTAAACATGGCACGGAGGTTTGCCCACCATTATTTATATAGGTTGCTAAAACTGCCACTTCTGGGATCAATCTGAAATAAAAACTGCTCCGGCAAGCAGGAAAAGCTTGTAAAGTACATTGTAAAATCAATCAGAAACATTAACCCATTGCTCCTGTTAACCCACTCCAAGTGTCTGAGATGAGATCTTAATGGCAGAAATTAAGTTATTCAATATTTAAGGCCTTTTCTGCAGTGTCAAATTCATCACAAGTCAGAGTTAGCTTCAAAATGGCTGCAGTCACAGGGTGGATGCGTTTTAAAAAATGTGTTGAGACAGGTCTGTCCATCTCTGAATAAAAGCGATGTCAGGGTGAAGGGCCACATCAAAATAAATTTCTCTCTTTTGAGCCATTAACCAGACCAAAATCTAATGGGACATTTTATAGGTATAGCAATAACAACAATGTCCTTATTCTAAGATAGGACCATAAAACATGTGACCACCTTCATCTCAGCGTCTATTAAAAGAAATATCAGCAAGAGAACGTTCATTCCTGAATCACACTTATTAAATTGAAGAGTTGCAATAAAACATTATGTCATATGTTTTGGTTTTATTTCTTGGCTTTGTGTTTCACAGCTGTTTTGATTTGATTTGATCTTGGCTGAATCTGAACGCTGAGTTCAGAGTTTGAAGTTTACCTTCAAACTTCTTAACATGTACATATCTTTCTGAAAAAGTTTTGGACACAGTCCTGCATTATTATTTCTTGGAAACCCACAAGATTTTGTGGCGCCTGGTTCTGACTGAGCCAAAGGTCCAAAGTTCCTCTCACAAACGTGAAGTTTTTTCAGTCACACTGAGCAAAACACGAGTCCGGCTGCTACTGAGCGGATTCAGAAAGCTCAACTCAAAGCCCTCCACATGAGTAGAGAGAGGACTTAAACCGCATGGCTATAGAGCTAAGCTGCCCAAATGTTCCATGTTTGGGAGAACGTCACATTCCAGACATACCTCCGAAACGTTTGAGGAAAAAATGTGTAGAATATGGAAAATATGAAAGGCTGTGATTGACAGATAAGGTTTGCTGGATGGTGGCCATTATAGAAGTCTCTATGGAAACAGAAGCAGAGAGATTTGTGTGTTCTGACACCTTTTCTGCATCGCCAATCATCAGTCTGATAATGAACAAAGTGGGAAAAATGCAGCATGAAAATACTTCATGCGGGCATCAAGGCTGTAGCTTTCAGACAAAAACCTCACTTCTCTTCTCGCTCCATATTTGCTCATGTTGCACAAGGACAGATTCTGTAGCAGCCCCTCACAAAAGAGACAATAGTGTAACTCTAAATCCTTATAGTTATAGTCCACGAAACACTGGAATAAGCAGGGATGTTAAAGCAATTAAGCGAGCCCAATGTTCACTATTAATTTGGATATAATAATAATATCAACAGGGGACTACATTTCAGAGGGGATCAATCTGAGAACCAATGATGATTTTTCCTTCAGAAACATCCTCTTAGATAATTTTTGACATACGCTGCCTCGGGAAAACAGGAATTAACTATTTTAGGTGATCAAGCATTTGAAAAAAAACACAATTTTTCAACATATTTAAATCCAACAGAGTTGAACAAAATGTACTAGCTAAATATACCAGGCCATTTTACCACATGACTGGGTGTCACAGATACAAAAGGAGACAACACAGGTAAGTGGCGGAATAAAGATGTTTATTTGCAGGGATTTGCAGTCAGATAGTTTGTAGTTAACTTAGCTCGATGAGTAATAGTACTCTTGATGTCTTTCAAGATGACTGAACGGGTTTCAGACAGAAGACGGATACTGGAGACTGGAACAAGGTGAGTGGATCAGGAGAGTTGAGTAGATCAAGTTGAGTAGATCAGGTACAGTAGATCAGGTGAGTTGAGTAGATCAGGTGAGTGTCTATGTGTAGACGAGACCAGAAATCACTGGTGAGGAGATTGACAGCTGATATAGGGAGTGCTGATGAGTGATAACACGGGTGACGGCTTGCAGGCGCAGGTGATTGAGGCAGTGGCATAGGTTTGATTTCGAAATTGGTGGGGACGGGGACATCAATATATAAATATATTTTAAGTTTTGATCGAAATTATTGCTAGGGATACATCAGTGTCACTGGATATTGGTAGGGACACGTCCCTAGCGTCCCTACTAAATTATACGCCCCTGGATTGAGGACTCGTGTGTGCAGGTGGTAAGCATGAAGGATACTGGGAAGTGTAGTGCTGAGGGTGACTGATCTGGTGACTGTGACAGTACTTCCCCCTCCCAGAAAGCGTGACCTCGCTCAAAATGGATTCCATCCATGGTGGTAGGATGGGTGTCAGGTGATAGGGATACCTCCAGGATGGCACCAGCAACCCAGGTAGGCGCTGGCAGCTCAGGAAGCCATGGAGGTGGAGGTGGCTCCAGGGCCCATGGCGGTGCAGGTAGTTCTGGAAGCCATTGTGGATCGGCCTTCATGACCTTGCCAAGGAAGTCAGGCTGGGCCACTATGCCCGGGGACAAAAATAAATCTTGGGAAGAGCTATAGGTTCATGGGCTGGCGAGGATTCTGGAGCAGGCTTTGGGCTGAGCTTGGGGACTGGAACGGGCTCAGGAATTTCTCTCATGGGAACAGACTGATGCCTGAATGCATCTGATGCCACATCTTGCCTGAAGTGGACATGGGTGACTGTGGCTGAGTGGTGGTTGTGTCTTCATCAACCTCACCAATTGTAAGGATAGAAACACTCACCCACAGCGGTCTTAGAGTGTCATCGTTCCAGGTTACCTGATGAGAAAGCTCGAGGAACTCCTCTACATAGTTCTTGATTGGGAGGCCATCTTGGAAATGCGAGATCAGCCGATCAGCGGGGTAAATAAGATTGAAGAGAAAGTTCATATTGTTCTCAGTATAAAGTGGTCTGGTCTTCTGTCACAGATACAGAATGCAGATGTTTATTTGCAGGAACAGGAAGCGTGAGTAAGAGAGTGACAATGGTTAGTATAACTGCAGCCAGATAGTTTGTAGTTAACTTAGCTGGATGAGTAATGGTACTCTTGATGTCTTTACAGATGACTGAACGGGTAGCAGATGATGATGAGGAGAGTCGTTGCAGACTGAAGACAGATGACAGATACTGGCGACTGGAACAATGTGATGGCGAACACAGGTGAGTGGATCAGGTGAGTAGATCAGGTGAGTGTCTATAGGTGTGTTCGACATCTGCTGCGGCTGGATGTAACCGATTGGCAGGAGTTGCCGCTTGCAGGCGGGGAGGAGCTGAAAATGGAGACGTGAAGTCAGACACTTTTTGCTTCCCATAGTGACGCTGAAGTGAAATAAAATGCAATATTTGTCAAATACACAGATGTTTCAGAGAAATTTTCATTCAATACTTTATGTAGGCCTTTTGCTTAATACAGCGTCTGTTTGTACAGAGTGGGGTCTACGTTTTTTATCAGTTTTATTTTGATAAACATGACACAATATAACATCGCGACTACATGAAAAGAGGTTTTACTGTTATAAAAAAACAGATTTGTGAGCATTAGTGGAACTGAAGGTTTTAGAATAAACACGGAACACATGTGATCGTTTTCATGCGGTGAATCCGGCCAATCGTGGAACAGCAGTGTCGTCATCAGAGCTCGTGCAGCTGCTCTGGAGAAGCTACGCATGAATGAATGATCAGCCGGCTCCTCTCGAACCGCTCTCACGGTACTTTGTTGGCACAAGTCACAGTCACATGGCGTCGGCGCTGTCTCAAGTCGGACAAAATATCTAACCAGCATGCACTGCTTCAAGTCAGCTGCCAATCGGTCTGCGCAGCGCTACATGAAGTTGAACAAGCCTTATGTGTAGAAGAGACCACATCAATGGTGAGGAGGTTGACTGCTTGCAGGTGCAAGTGATTGAGGAGTGCTGGTCTTTCAAAGAGGGGAAGCTAATTTTCGGCCTACATCATAAAAATTGTCCATTTATTTATACGTAAATTCTGTCCTACGTTCCTTTTCAAGAAAATGCTCTGTGACCCTGTCGTATCAACTAGGCGTCTTTTCCAGTGACTTGACCAGTGTCCTCTCAATGGCCAGCAGGGGGAAATGTGGGAATTAGGTTAAACTGAAACAAGGAATGGGGTGTATAATTGTGTGAAATGTATGATGAAAATTGGCTAGCAATTTTACCAAGCAAATACCAAGAAATAGGTTGCAGCAGTTTGTCTTTCGACTACACCTTTGGACTACACTTGCAAAATCCGCGATAGGACTGAGCTCGAATAGCTTCAACGACTTTTTATAGTACAAAATTTCTGTCGATCAAAAAGAGATGCAGTCTTTCGACAGACCCTCCAATCATCACGCAGAAGCCCGGAGTCCAGGCCAGCCCACTCCTCCATTCACCCCCAGAGACGCTGTGCGTCAGTGGGCAGGACATAATCGCACCATTTATCCAATGACCGTCCAGTTTCGAAGCACTGAAAAAAACTGTTCAAAGCAGCCCCATTGAAGTCAATGGACGCTAAGCTTCAACAGGGAAATTAACTGTGACGCTACGGGAATGTATGAGAAGGAAATCAAGTCAGCCCACCTGCTATATGTAGCTGATTCTCAACGAACTCGTCTTCGAGATGAACGTGTTCTAACGCATTTTTAGCCAATAAAATGTTAACACAATAGTACATATTTGACCATTAATTTTTTGACATTATAGGGGAAGCCGAGCTTCCCTTGCAGTCTTAAAGAAATCCCCACTGGTGTGCAGGTGGTGGTGAGCATGAAGGATCCTGGGAAGTGTAGTGCTGAGGGTGACTGAGCTGGTGACTGTGACATTGGGCAGGGGCTTTGCACCACACTAAAATAATAATAAATAAGAGACTACTCATGCAAACTAAACATCACTATTTGTCTAGAGCCACTTAAAAGTAATAAAATGGTGAATAATTCCTCAAAACATCATTGTAACAGCAAATCATAAGGATCCACCCATTATATTGGTGCATAAAACGAAGTATTTTGCTAGGATGAGACGGCAAACCACTGAGCGTAGACATTCAGAGTACTGGCCTTCAAAAATCAAAAAGGTCAAAACATCAATGAAGTAATTAATTTGCCTGGTGTGAAAAACACACACAAATAATAGAAACGCACAAATAAAAGATGGGAAAGTAAATAGTGGTGTATTTAAAATGCCTGTGTTGTTTTACGCAGATCATAAAATTTCATAACGATGAATATTCCACGGTCAGAACCATGTGCTTTTGTTTTGATCAAGAGCCGCAATGATGTCATCTATACTTATGCAAAACGAGTCTGTGGGTAATTGCCTTTGTAATGGAGAGCCCGTTTAAAATAGTCTGAAACCATGAGGAGAAAAACAATTGGAAACATGGAAAGACTTGTTGCTGAATATTCTACCAGCTCTTGTGGCTAAACGCAGCTTTTCACTTTCAAAGTTACTGAGCGTGTTCTAGCCGATTATGTCATTTTTAAGTGTCTTGTAAAAAGCTGTATGGAATTAGCATGTTTCTAAATGGGTTTTATAAAAATCATTTTCATGATAATGCACACAGCCTAAGATTACAGTAACATTATCATTCCTAACATTTTTATCATCTTCAACATTTTGCAGGCCAAGGACTTGATAAACATATTGTAAAGAATTGAGGGTTGCATTTTATGATTTACGCTATGATACTTGCATTGTTATCACTATCATTACAAGTTATTATTATTGATGAGAAATTGGCACATAACATTTTAATTTGACTTAATACATTTTGTGGGGGGGATGATGAAACATTTTAGCTGAACTTTGGCTCAACTTATGACTTAATATTATATTTTTGTTTATCGCACATGGTCTTTTAGCAAAATGATGAAAACTTTTGAAAAATTAAATATTAGTAAAATATAATTAATAATTAGCTATGGACACCCCATCAAAGACCCCTGCTATAGATTTCATGTTAACATCAATAACAAAAATATATATAATTATTAAAAAACAAAAAGTGATCAAAAGTGACAGTAAAGACATTACACTGTTACAAAAACATTCTATTTCAAATAAATGTTGTTCTCTTTTCCTTTCTCTTCATCAAAGTATCCTGAAATAAATTGTCACTGTTTCCACAAAATGAAGTTTTATGTAAACAAAGTTCGGGAGGAGCATGTTCAGGTAATCATCCAATCAGCGCAAGAAGAAGCCAGTATAAATAAAGCCTTCCCTTACCTCCTGTCTCATGACTAATTTCTCAGCATCCCACCACCATCCCTTCACCCCACATTCTGCTGGGTCCGCTCATAGTTACCTATGATCTCTAAGGTTATGGGGGGAGTACTCTGGGGTCGGGCCGAATTCTGAGCTCGGAGCCCTCCCCCCGGACAGCAAGCCAAATACGCATTATAATATTACATCAGATTTCATTAACATGTAAACTCGTGAAAATACTAAGCAGCACAACTGTTGTCAATATTGATAATAATAATAAATGTTTTTTGAGCAGCAAATCAGCATATTAGGATCGTGTGACACTAAAGACTGGAGTAACGATGCTGAAAATTCAGCTTTGCCAAAAATATATTATACAGTATATAATATATTGAAATAGAAAATTGTTCATTTAATGTGTAATAATATTTCACGATATTACTGTTTTACTGTATTTGGTGAGTCTGAAACTTTTAAAAATTTAAATTTTACAGAACCCAAACTTTTAAATGGTGTATAGGCCTACTGTATGTGTATATATACACACTTTTACTTTTCATGGCCTTTAGCAAACAACTAAGGGTATGTTTACACGACAACGATGTACTAAAAATGGAAATGTTTTTCCTTTGCGTTTTCCGTTGTCAAAACGACCCCGTTCACACGGATCTGCGAAAACTATTAGAAACGCTGTATTCTGCTGTCAGGACAGTAGTTGGCGATGTCACTTTGTAATGAAACACCACGCTCCTATAGACTGAACACGTAATACGCATGTGCATGATGTCATCGTTTTCACTAATTCATGCACTTTGAAAAACGTTTTCAAAAGTTTGCGTTTTTAGGCCTCTAAAACGTCGTTGTCGTGAAAATGAACGGCCAAAATGCATAAAAAGTTTTCGGTTTTTAGTTGAAAACGGTGTCGTGTAAACGATTAAACTAAATTAAAAAAGAAAAGGGCCTTAATGATGCATGGGTGTCCAACCAGAAATCTCACTTTACCAACATTCTTACATTCATCTCTTTTCTCCCCAGAACTCAATTCTGAAAGCTCAGAGTGTTCAAGAGGGACTAACTGTACCTGAGAGAAATGGAGGTTCCTTTGACAGACTCTGAGTGTTGTCTGCTCGGACTAAAGCCCCCCTGCCGGGCATAGTGCTCATCCCCACAGCACAGGATCCTAAGGAAGGCTCTCCGAAAAGCCCGGTTCAGAAAAGCATACAGGAACGGATTCAAGCCCGAGTTGATGTAACCCAACCAGAGCCAAGCGGTCCACATCTGCCAGGGCACGCTGTAATTAATGAAGGGATCCACCACGTTGGTAATGAAGAAGGGCGCCCAGCATAGACAGAAGCAGCCCATAATGACAGCCAGCGTCTTGGCCGCCTTGGTTTCATTCTTAATGCGACTGGAGCCTGGTTGATCGTGGTTATGGTAAGTCGAAGAAGGGGCCGAGCCGGCCCGATGTAGAGATCCGATTCGCCGAGCATGACCGATAGCGGTGATGTAGATTCGCTGATAGGCGAGAACCATCAGCACCAGAGGCACATAGAAGGCCACGGCTGAACACACCAGGGCATAGGGTCGGTTCACCATGAACACACAAGTTGAATTGCGGGAAGAGTTGGATTTTCTTTGTTCGATCTGGGAAATTGAAATGAAAAAACAATTAAGTATGCATCGATATTAAAACATTATTTTCATGTTATTATGGTCAATAACAAACAATAACAATTCTATAATATTTTGTCTGAATACATTTAAAAAACACTAAAGATTAAAATCAATCATTTTAAATGCCACGTGAATTTAAGCATCACAACATTATAATGTAATGTATGGAAAATGGATATTCACATAGATACGGTGATTTGCTAAAGATTACATTTAAAAGGGTTTTTAAAGACTGTAACCTTATAAGGGAGTGTTAGATACTGTAAAATGTAATTTACATCATGCATATAGTAAAAATACCAGGCACAATTATCCAGTATCAACCAGTGCATACTATATGCAATATTGACTAGTACAATAAATTATAAAATATCTAATATCGGCTCATAACCGATACTGATTTATTTTGTAGTCTTGACCTTCTCAACTACATGCAAGAAATAAAATCATACAAAAAAATTATATACAATCAATTTACACATACATACCATTCAAAAGCTCAGTAGGATTGTTTAATGTTTTTGAAAGAAGTCTCTTATGCTTACCAAGGTTGCATTTATTTGATCAAACATATAGTAAAACGGTAATATTGTGAAATACTATTGCAATAAAAAATAACTGTTTTCTATTTTAATATATTTTAAAGGGTAATTTGTTCCTGTGATGGCAAAGCTGAATTTTCAGAAACCATTGCTCCAGTCTTCAGAGTCACATGATCCTTCATAAGCAGTGTTGGGTGTAATTCATTACTAAGTATTTAATTACTGTAATTTATTACTTTTCCCATGAAAAAGTAAAGTAATAGATTACTATTAATTTTTCTGTAATTTAGTTATTTCTGATGTTATTGCATTACATGCTGTAGAGAACAGTTCTTTATAAAACAGTAGTGGATTTAACATCAAAATGTAATATCTAATTTTAAAATGTATGTTTTTGATGTAACCTTCTCCCTTTAAATACTTTGGCCAGTTCAAGAATAAATTATGCAATTTTATAAACTGACTGCGGTTGATCTGGAGTAATTAGTGATACAAAGAAGAAAAGAACAATCGAAGATATGAAAAGAACAATCAAGACGGAGATGAAGTCGAAATCTGGCTCGAGTCGAAACACCTGACTCTGATCCACGACGCGAAACTGCCAAAATCTTTTCACAGCGCCAGATGGAAACGAGGATATAACCCAGATCTTGTGTGTGTGAGCAGTGAATTAACATCGAGAGTTGTGAAAGAGGTACTGGACCCTATCCCCCACACGCAACACCGGCCAATCACTATAACCATCCGATCTGTTCTCCAAGCAACAACCGTCCCCTTCCGCAGAAGGTTCAATCTGCGTAAGGCAGACTGGCTGTCATTCCAACGGGAGATTGAAAACTCCATCTCCAGCATTCCATCACACCCCAACAACTACAGCATGTTCATAGACCTGTTGAAAAGGTCAGCCAGGCGACATATACCAAGAGGATGCCAGACCGAGTACATCTCCGGGCTGTCGGAAACATCTAGTGACTTATTGAAAGCCTACCACGGGGCATACCATGAGGACCCCTTCTCCCCCACCACCATGGAACTCGGAGAGATCCTGCTGAACAAAGTCGGGGAAGATCGAAGGAAAGCCTGGAAGGAGCTGTTAGAAAACACCAACATGACCAACAACAGCAGGAAGGCATGGGCCACAATCCGCCGCCTCGGTGAAGACCATACCACTCCGCCCACACTCACAACAGTCACAGCAAACTCAGTTGCAGCACAGCTGGTGGCAAACGGTCGCAGCCAAAACCGGCGCAGACCCACAGGAGAATACCGCCGGACAGCGGTACCGGACCACCCACAACCAGCCAGAGCACTCACCAAGCCTTTCGATCCACAAGAACTTGAAACTGCAATGAGCATGCTGAAACCTGGGAAAGCAGCAGGAATCGATGATGTACTGGCGGAAATGATACAGCACCTGGGACCTAAAGCAAAGACTTGGCTCTTAGAAATGCTGAACTCATGCATGGCAGAGAAAGTAATCCCACCGGTATGGAGAAAGGCCAAGACTGTTGCAATTCTCAAACCTGGAAAGGATCCATCATCTCCAAAGAGCTACAGACCAATTTCCCTCCTCTGCAGCACCTACAAGCTCTATGAGAGTCTACTACTCCAACGCCTTATGCCACTTATAGACTCTAAGCTTACTAAAGATCAAGCTGGTTTCCGTCCTTGCCGCTCCTGCACTGGACAGCTACTGAACCTCACCCAACACATTGAGGACGGTTTTGAGTGCAAACTCATCACCGGAGCAGCTTTCATAGACCTCACTGCTGTCTACGATACTGTCCAGCACCGTACCATGATTAGGAAACTTTTTGACATGACTGGTGACCTCGACCTCTGTCAAATCATCAAAAGCATCCTTAACAACAGGCGGTTCTTTGTACAATTAAACGACAAGAAGAGCAAATGGAAAGCCCAAAAGAATGGCCTACCACAAGGCAGCGTACTGGCCCCCCTTCTCTTCAACATATACACTAATGACCAACCACTTCACCCACAATGCCGCCGTTTTATCTATGCGGACGACCTCTGCATCACCACCCAACAGGAGAACTTCCAGAAGATTGAGCCTGTCATGGAAAGTGCCCTCCTAGAGATGACAACTTACTACAATAACAACCACCTGAAACCCAACCCATCGAAAACCCAACTGTGCAGCTTCCATCTTAAAAACCGAGATGCGAAAAAAGAACTGAGCATATCATGGGATGGATACAAACTCTCCAACCACCCTCACCCCGTGTACCTGGGAGTCACACTCGACAGGACACTCTCTTTTAAAACTCATCTTCAGAACACTAAAGCCAAGATTAACACCCGTAATAACAACCTGCGCAAACTGGTAAACTCAAAATGGGGCGCTGATCCACCAACCATCCGGGCAACTGCCCTAGCCCTGTGCTTCTCCACAGCTGAATACGCTTGCTCAAGTTGGAGCCGCTCCCACCATACCAAACTGATTGACACAGCTCTCAATGACACCTGCCGCATTATCACGGGGTGTATAAAGACAACGCCAGTCCCTTGCCTCTACGCCCTATCCGGCATTGCCCCCCCCCCACATCAGACGATCCATCATCGCCCAAGACGAGCGGAGAGCACAGGAGTCTGACACAAGTCCTTCGTCCTATTAGTAATTAATCACTTTATTAGAGTAACTTACCCAAAACTGTTCATAAGGTTCAAAAGCATTTATTTGAAATATGTTTTTTTAATCAATGTAAAAGTCTTCACCTTCACTTTTACTTAATGTAATGCTTCATATCTAAATAAAAAATTACTGACCTAAAAAACCTTTAAACAGTAGTGTAATCTGTTGAATTATTATTAATTAATTGTGGTTATATAATATTTTTAATTATTACTATAATTACCAAAAATATAATGGGAATTTGTCCTGTTTACAAAAACGCAACATTCCTTAAAATGGCCACGCCTAAGAAGTGACATCATTTAGACCCCTTTCTACAGAATAGCTAAAGTAAATTAATGATCTCATTCCATTATTTTTTATTATTGTTACACACTTTTTGTAACACTTTTATTTTGGAAAGTACCATTTCTTTAAAAAACAACAACAAAGGTTTTATAATCCAACCTAGAGAGATCTAGCGGAGAGTAATTACTTAAAGCTTATAATGCATCAGCAGCATAACAAAAAGAATGAACCAAACTACTGCTCACTTACAATGCTCTCGATTCCAATAGTATTCCAGCTTTGCATGATGGGAAGGAAAGAGATGAAAAAGGAGATGACCCAGCATCCAACCAGCATCAGTGAGACTCTTACAGGTGTCATCTTGTTATTGTAGACCAGAGGCTGACAGCAAATCGCATAATACCTGCCCAAGACAAAAATTGCAAATATCTGAATTAATGATTCAATGGAAGCTGTCAGTACACTGTCTTTCGTAAACACTGCGTCCCTACATACTGTACTTTGATATACCCTGATGATACTGCTGATCTTTCCTTGAAAAGCAAATGCAGTGAATTATAACTAGAAAATTTGCACTTACTAGAGACCGCAGAGGCAAAGACATCATGAGTCATGGGAATCATATACGGATGGAAAAAGAACTTGGTGACACAGTGAGATAGATCAACAGAATTTGTTGCTCGGGGGAAAGAGAGAGATAGATAGAGAGAGGCTTTGAGAGACTAAGAATGAGTCATGTTACTGCCGTATGGACAAGGTGCGCTGCATAAATCACAGCTGCTCTCTTTCGGGTTAAGAGTGCTGCAGTCTTCCCAATGGGTGAACATGAGACAATTTGCATACTGTACGTAACTGCAAATTACACATAATTAGCTGACACGCTGACAAGCCGCTTGGAGTTAGCGTGAAGACATAAATTATGCGTTTCTTTTTTGTGCATACGATTTTGAATGTACAGTTTACTCAAAGACACATAATTAGAAACTGGACAATATATACTGTACATATAAGTAATATATATGTATATACTGTATCAAAATGCAAATGTTTTTTAAAGAGAAAATGTGATCAAATCTAGCAATGAAAATTGCTATCCCAAAACTGTCTAAATTTAGACTTCTCTTCTCAATATTGCCATGGCAACACAAGCAGTTATTTGTGTAGGACATTAGTATTTTTTTGTTACTATATTAGCTTCATGAGTAGCACTTACCTGTCTAGTGCAATGCAGCACAGATGCAGAATAGATACAGTGGTCAGCTGCACGTCCAGTGAGGTACGGACCAAGCAGAACGTCTCTCCATAACTCCACTGACCCGTGGTCAACTCTATGGTTGCCAGGGGCATCACAACAAGGGCAACTAGAAGGTCTGCAAATGCCAGGGATACAACGAAGAAGTTGGTCTTCTTCTTCCTATGTTTAGAACAGTAGATACACAAAAAAAATAAGATTGAGACATTAACAGTACAAAATAGTGTCTGTACAGTTTGTCAAAAATACTCATGTTTAAGTAATTTAATGATATTTTATCATACTTATGGAGCTTTTTTATGGAAGTTCTTTATATGATCATATTCAAAGTTTCCAGTTTCTAGTGTTTCTTGAATACAACAGCTGATAGAGGGATGGGAAATTTGACCAAAGTAATCAAGTCTCTCAATATTTTTTTCCTCTTAAGTAAAGTCATACAAATGCTATCGTCATGGATTTTATCTTTTGCTATTGGAGAAAAGGGGAACACAAACATTTATTTTTTTGTATTTCCGTTCATCACTATACTGTAGAAGTGACCCAACTATTACCCAACTATGATGACTTGCACTTCTGAGAACCCTAGACATTTGAAAAACCTATAATTTCATATGAAAATTTCATTGCAGGAAATATTTTCCTTGCATTTATGTCTTACTTTGCAGAAAGAAAATATTGAAGCATCTTTAAAATGAGATCGATTTACTTGAGAAGCAAACTGCCTACGATTTTAAGGTTTGTTTTCAGAGAACAAATTGAGGATTATTTTTTTTATTTTCTTTCCCTTTGTTTTCTGGTTGTAGGAAAAAACTAACTGCGCAGTGGGGTTTCAAGATTCAAGATGTATCGTTTGTCTGAAAACAAATCCTTATATCATGTCCGTTTTGCTTCTCAAGTAAATTCACCTTGTTTTAAGGTTTAAGACATTTTTACTAGAAAGAAAGACAAAAATACTGATTTAAAAAAATATATTGAAGTTCTTTCAACACTGATTGATAAATGTATTAACCACATAAATCCATTATATTTTAACTGATAGCCCCGCCCCAAACTCACACAATTGGTTGAGCCATTGCTGCTATGTGAGGCTGGTCAGGATTCTTTTAGATATCTTGCATTTTAAAGCTTTTTTACCATCAAAAATGTACATTGACACAGTAAATTTAAATGTAGATATGAAGCACCATTACCTTAACTGTCTGTCTTTACAGAGAGCCACCATCACAAGCAAATTACCAAGCACAGTCAGTATGATGATGGTTACCAGGACAATAGACAGCATTATCCTTAAAGTGTGTTTAGACATGATTGGATCCACTGCACTGTAGACAAAAATATGCCGATAATTATACATGAATATAAGATAAATTCGTATTAATCTTTGTAGTAAAAATATCTGAGGTGGTTCTTACTCGTCCGCTGAGTCTGATGCTGCGGCCATCACTGGTCATCTGTATGGAAGTGGTCAGATGGAGTTTGGTTCACACAAGACACAGCAGTCCCACTCCTGTGGGACAAACACAACTGATTTGGGTTCTCACATCCCAGATTCAATCATATTCTTTCAGCATGAGCTTCAAAGTGAGAGCATTGAGAATAAACCATCAGCACCTTTGTATATGAAACGGGCTTCTGGGATATAACATGGGAATATGAGCCATGATGAGTCTATGACCCCCTTTAAATATAACTGTCCCTGCACTTTATAGACTTTATAGTTTTTGCTGCTGACATTTCTGGTTTGATGTTGATAAAGGGGTACTTCAGTATTACTGATGGGGCTGTGGATAAAACAAAAAAGGTTAGGAAAAACTGGAAAATTTAAGTCTTATTAGATTTTCAATCTCAAAACACATCAAATATTGAAGATATAAAACTTCAACTCAAAGCACATGCACTCCATCATCATCGCAGGGTTAATGCCCACAGTGGCCAAATCGCACCCTGTGCCTGTGGCGCTTGAGCCATAACTCAAGCAGAAGTGTAGAGAGAGCTCTCACAGGGTAAACACTGGAGGTGTGTGATGTATTTGCCCAGCTGGGAGGCTCAAGTGGGTATTAGAGAGAAAGCTCGGACGCTTCTTTCCTGTTCTGTTGCTTTCGTTTGAGTTTCAAATGAGCCGCATGATTATAATACCCCTGTTTCAGACACACTAAACAAAATAGGCTATTTTGAACAGATACACAGAGAGGACAGCTGATTTACACATGATGCTTTTTTTTAAAGGAGAGGGTAAAAGGGTCATTCTACAAAACAGGAGCCATTTGTGTCCCTGATATATGTGTAAAAAATAGTCAATTTAACAATTAAACATATGAAGGCAATTTTATGTGTCAATATAGAAATACATGGAACCCATAAAAGGACATGGTGATGGGAAAGTATATGAGATGCGCTCCTCTTGCAAGTTTGCGTTCATTCACAAACGTTTTGCAATAAAACTAATTTTCTCTGGGAACTCAATAGTTTTGTGAGAGAACTCAAAAGCACTGCAATATAATTTTTCCTCACCATGTCCCCTCGTGGGCTCTGTAGAAATGTCTCTAAATTAATCAATGTGTTTATTTTTGATTAACCATTTAACAATATAGAAATAAAATCTAGCATTTTTTTCTTTATTCTCTAATCTCTATATGCTCATCTGTCAGTAGGGGACAATTTTAAAATGTCAACCCTTTTACCATGATTTTGCATAGTGAACAATTGACAATTGAAAACATCTTTAAAAAGATTCTCTTTCTAAGAAGCACCTTTGTTTCATAATCTTGAGTACAAGGCTTGTCAAATTAAATTGTAACTGTAACTGTCAACCCTGTTACCTTTCAGAAGCTATACAGTTATTAAGTCCCAAAATGCATTCATTTAGCTTAAGATATCACAATATAATTTAATTACTCTTAAACACATTATGTAATTGTTAGAATGTTTCAAATCTTAAGAAACTTCACTTAAAAATCACACTGGGGATGGCACCCGGTTTTTTGTTCTTTTTCTCGAATGACCCAAAAAGAAAGCTGAGCTGAAGTATGAAAGCTGATGCCATGTGACAACACTAACTTTCACTAATCTTGTCTCATAAGATCTAAGAGCCCACTATTCCCTTCAGCTCAAGGGATTTCAAACTTCAAAGCATATAGATCTGTCCAGATAAATAATGTGGGACTTTGAAATTTCCTGTTTTTATAAAAGCATTAAATAAATTAAATAAACTGGTTGTTACAATTTTAAATTTACTTCAAACTCTTTACTTAAAGGGATAGTTCACCCGAAAATGAAAATCATTTCCAAACCCATAAGACTTTCGTTCAACTTCGGAACACAAATGAAGATATTTTGAATGAAATCTGAGCGATTTCTGTCCCTCTTTGACGCTTCAAAAAGTTCATAAAAAGATCGTGAAAAGAAGCAAAAATGAGTGTCAAAGTGGTCGTTGCGTGGACTTTCAATGAAGGGATTGAAAGGTCTCATATTTCATCAAAAAGATATTAATTTGTGTTCCGAAGATGAAGAAAAATCGTATGGGTTGGAAGTGAGTAATTAATTACAGAATTTTCATTTTTGGGTGAACTAACCCTTTAGAGCTAATGAACATTATACTTGAAACTGCACCCTAAAGTGATGTATCACAACCTGGATGCTTAATTATTGAACAATTTACAATAAAACTGAAAAACATTAACTAACATATCGATGAAGTAGGTAGCTCGAGGTTTCAATAGAAATAACACTATGTATAACTCTTGGCAAGTTATTGTCATTGTAACCTCTTGGCAATACTCGGTTGTTACGATTTGATTGGCTTCTCTTATACAAAACAAAACAAAGTGACATAATTGACATAATGAAAAGAATATGCACTGACAAACCCTCCGATAAACAATTTTGACACCTTCCCACACAACCTCTTTTTTTCATTTCACGCCACCAGGAAAACGGAGTGGCATTTGCATTAAAGGGATCAAATACAATCTGTGGTGACAAAAAAATAACTAAACATAAGCCATAAGCCTCATAAACATGTTATGAGAGTGACATTTTTACACAATAATAAAACCCATATGGGAGTGACACAAATAGTGGTCTGAAACACACGTTGATCATGTAGTTATGTTAGCTCAATGTGATTTTGCCAAGTAAGACATATCTTGTTGATCCTGGAACATCATTCTTGTCCTAAAATTTTGTCTTAACCCTATTCCTACCTCTAAACTTAACCCTAACCCTACCCATATCTTATCCCTAAAATCAGAGTGAAATGATATGTGAATAATAACACTGATGTAGAACCACCTAACCCTGGTTGTAAGCTTAAACTTGACATAAATTGTAAACTTGTCCCCCAAATCTGATTGGTTGATTTGAATGTTGTTCCAGGATCAACAAAGATGTTGATCCAGGAGCATGTTGTACTGGGTGAAATCACGTTCACCAGTGAGGGACCTACATGGCGATATAATAAAACAATAACAATCTTCACATCTTTTTAAAAACAATCTTTTTAACCGACTGGAAATGGATTCACAAAGTCTTTGCTCATCTTGAAATATATGAATAAAATATAGAAAGCTATAATGTGGTTTTAGTCTTGATCAGGATCAGTTCCTCTGTACAATTACAATGAATAAACTATGATGACAATCACATCTTTGGCTGTTTAAAGTGTGCAAAATCAGTGGCACTACAATAATTATGATATCTTCAACAAATTCATGATTATTTCAACCACAGCTGTAAATTTCATAGTTGGAGGCAAATTTCTCCAAAATCAGTAAACAAATAAACTCTGATACTCTCTAATAGAAACCAAATGATTATTCTTTACAATTTAGGAAAAACAAACCACATCTTATCAAAAACATTAAACAAACAACAATAGTAACAACAAAAATAATAATAGCTATCATTATTACATTAAAATATTTCAAAATAGACATACTTTATAGTGCTTAGAATAACCTGTTGCACATGTTGACACTTGAAGCCATTTAAGTACGAGGCAGCATCATTCAAACAACTTTACTCACCTAGGGGCTCCGAGTTTCATGTCTCTATGAATCCACACGTATTTTTATAACCTGTCATATTCCATCACAGTTTGTCGCAGACTGAAGTGCTCTTCTCTGTTCTATGTAACAATCAAACAGCGGCTGCAAGCAGCAGATCATCTATTGATGGAATTGAATGTTGCGCTCTGAGCTGCCTGTCCAACACAGAATACACAAGCGTCGGTAACACACCACAACAGAGCAACAGCGCCACCCAGTGTCTCAACTCACTTTACTGCGCTTATTCAAAACAAAAGGCCAATTAGGCTTTCAGGTTTCCGTTTTTCTTCTTGAAAAATGAGCTGTTGATATTAAGGATGCAATATTCACTATGTACTTTGCCATATAAAGTTGTAGTGTCACGAACAAGCGTCAGTTGTTATATTAAGCAAAATAGGATGCTGTAGCGACACTACAGTGTCAAAAATGGAAGTGAAATATAACTGATTACGAACTAAATGGTCACGGAATGATAGTCTGCTGTGTGGAGACCACTGTCATTGAAATGCCTCATTGATTCATTCATACACAGTCTGAAGATTGAAAGACTTCTTTCAAACCACGAGATGGCGAAAGAGCACCAAACATAGGCTAGGCCTATTGCATTTTACTAAAGTCCCTGTAATCGGGTGGGAGATACGTCCGTATATTGTAGGCTACTGCTGAATTTGTGTCGCTATGTTGGTCAAGTTAACAAAATTCTGAGATATAATCTATAAAATGATTTACCTACATACCAATCTACTCTATATCTCATATCAGACTCAATACACGTGTAGGCTAAAAGTAAGATTCTGCATTATGCAGGATGCCCAAAGTCAAGCTGATAAATACTACATTTTTATTTATAAAAAATGCAAACCCCCTGCAAAACGTGTGTTGACCTTGTTTATCTTGCCCACAATAAGTAATTTACTGAATAGAGGAAAAAACATATTAGTACAAATAGCTAATATATCAAATTTAATTTGTTGGCATTTTGTTTCCCAATAAGAAATGAATCAGCAAACAAAGAATGACCTTGAACATTCCCAACATGTTTGCAGAAGAGTAAAAATCTTCTATTGGTGGACACATCATGACTTCAGCTGGTCTTCAGTCTGCTAAATTAAATTAGGCCTACATGACAATATAGCCTACTGTGGGTTATTGATATCACTGCCATTGATTGAGCTGCTTCTTTTACTTTACCATTACAGGAAAGCCACTTCCTTTACAGCTAATGCTGTATATTAGAATTTAGCTTAATAACAAGTGACAGAAGAGAGACTGAGTAAGGAAGCTGCACAATATAATTTGATCTCTTTCTATTCAGTGACACAAGACAAAAATACTTGCAAGGATTGCCGTTTATCAAGACTTAGGCCTATGTGATTAATGAAATTGCTTATTAATATTCACAAGACCTTACTGAGTTGTTGAGTGCACAGCAGAAGAGAGGAACTGGGTGGTTTGCTGCTGTAGACACGACCATATGCAGACAATGGTGAAATTTTAGACAGCTCCGGTGTTTCTGGTGACTTTGCACTCTTCGGTATTGAACAGATTTCAATACTACCGCAAATGCTTGATTTTTTCTTCTGAGAAAATCAGAGCGCTGAATTATTTAATTGTAGTAACAGATATTTGTAGAACATATTGAAGTAGGAAGAACAAAAAGTGTTTTAAAACTTTATTCTGTATTTATTTTGGTCAACAATAACATGCTATTACTAAAAATAAAATAAATTAATTGTCAACAAAGCTCCCAGTATGCCTAGATTTTAAATCAAACCTAGATTTCATCATGGAAAAAAATAAATGATGTTGATGAGCTTGGCAGATGCAGGATGGAGTTTTTCTTAAATGGTTTACTGAGCAGCGTGTGCTTTTTCTCAGACGTGCCTCAAAGAGTCTGGCTGAAAATAATGATTTGCATGACTCTTGTTCAGTCTGTTGTTATTGATTTACTCTAAAGCAGTTGTTATGAAACAGAGAGTTGGACATGATTGAGGGTAAAGGGAAAAAATATACTCATACGCCATCATTTATTTATTTATTTATTTATTTTGTCTTGTCCCAACATTTTGTTTAATCACTGTGGTTACAGAGAAGCATCACTGTAGATTGGTATAAGGGATCTGTGTTAAATATTCATGGTTTGTGCGTACAGGCTTTCATTGCTTGCCCTTGTCCCTAGGTCAGAGCTTACTCTAACTCTTCGGTTATGATTAGAAATTGATTATGGGCAGTCCGTTTTATTGGGATGACCTGGGGTCAGGGGATGAGGTCATGGCACCACATCCGCCTCTGAGCCATAAATCAAAACACACATCCAGAGTGCAGAGGTAAAGCAAGACACACAACCCCTGCATGCAACCTTAAGGTGCTTTATAATTCTCCGTTTGTTTGGAAATGAGTGAATAATCCGGACAAATGGAGTGGAGTGTGTGCCCAGGCATTTTCAGCATCCTGTGTCCACACTGCCAGAGTGTATTATTAACCGCGGTAAGGTCAGCGAGTCAGGCCGTTCTCTGAAAAGGAGAACAGCAAGTTTCCACTGAACCTGCTATGGAGTTTAGAACTGAACATAGAACTGATCAATCTAGTTGGCACTAGAGCAGAGGTGGACAAAGTACACAACTTCCTTACTTGAGTGGAAGTACAGATACTACTGGTCATATATTACTCTGTTACAAGTAAAAGTTGTAAAGACCGATTTTTACTTAAGTAAAAGTACAGAAGTACTCGAGTACTTAAGTATCAAAAGTAAATGCATTGTTTTATTATTGTTGCATTGTTGTATGTAACAGTACCTTATGCCTCTGAATCTATGCCTGCAGCCTATACCCTCATATCAATATCAAGTTCCAGTAGTGGGATTGAATGTGAGATTGAATAAGTGCACTCAATAACGTCCACAATGGTTTCGGACACCCAAATGGCTGTTCCCTCAAATAGTGCCCTATTTAAAGTTTTTGGGCTTTTAGTATGAATATGCTAGCCTTACTGTTATCTATAATCTAGTGTGCTCCAAAACAATGACAAAATTCGCATTTAGAAGACCAAACCCAACGCTGAAAATGAAAATCAGGTTGATGTCAGAATCCAACATCAGTTGTGTTCTGACGTCAACACGACTTTCATTTCCATCCAAAATCAAACGTCTCTCCGACGTTGGATGTTGACGTCAATCTGACATTGGGTTCTGATGTCAACCCGAATTGCAAAATGCAATCCCTGCAACCAAAATCATCCCCTGACTGACGTTACTTTCAAGGACCTTGACAGAAATGTAGTGGAGTAAAAGGTACGATTTTGTCTTTCAAATGTAGTGAAGTTAAAGCAAAAAGTTTCCAGAAAAAATAATACTCAAGTATACTCAGATACTCAAAAAGTGTACTTAAGTACAGTATGTTCTTTGTTACTGTCCACCTCTGCACAAGAGTTAATATTATAACCCCTCAGAGAATCTGAAATAAATGTATTTGGAACAATATAGTGAAAACTATACAAATACATTTACATGTTGTTCAGTCATTACTTGAAGAGACTTTCACATTTCTTGTTTTATCCATACACTGATGTTTAAAAGTTTGGGGACGGTAAGATATTTTTAGTAATTATTTTTTTTAATAAATACATATAAGGACACATTAATTCAATTATGTAATTTATAATGTTACAAAAATTATATTTAAATATTCATCTATTTATCAAAGAATCCTGAAGCAGCACAACTGATTTGAACATTGATAATAATACAACATTTTTCTCAAACAAATCAGCATATTATATTAGAATGATTTCTGAAGGATCATGTGACACTGAAGACTTGGAGTAATGATGATGAAAATTCAGCTTTGTCATCACATGAATAAATTACATATTAAAATATATTGAAATAGAAAATGGTTATTCTAAATTGTAATAATATTTCACAGTATCACTGTATTCTTGATTAAATCTGTGAGCATAAGTCTTCTTTCTTATACCAATTCCAAACTTTTGAATGTGTAAACTGCACACAGACCTCAGGCATGAATTTTGAAGCCACTGTGTTGCACAAACAGCTAACAACTAAATACAACAACTAAAACCATCTTGGAACCTCATACATGACCGATCTAGAATGTTCTGCATGAGCATGATGCAACTCCACGTGTACAACAACATTAACTTCAAACAGCAGACATGCAATTGATTTCAATAGAGTTTGTGTGAAAGAGAAGAAAGAAAATCTTCACTAGGTTTCGGAAAAGAACAAATGCCTGCACTCCCCGACTTCAGGCTGCTTTTGATTATTTATATTTGTCAGATTGTTAGGCCATAAGCCAAGTCTGTCTCATACGCTGTCCTAATAGGCTTATACATAAAACATCAACACCTGCTCTATTCTCAGGGAGGATTGAGCTGTTTCCTACTTTAAAACAACTCACTCTCTATATATTCAAACAGAGACCACAGTTCAAGACCATCATTGAGTCATTAGTATTCACACCTGTGTGTTTGAGATAAAGCATGTAAAACTGATGCATAAGAGGTTAGTGGCTTACAGGTGGCAGGATTTTTTTTTTTTTACAGTTTGCTCAGCGTGTGACAAGACGTCTACAGTCGGTAAACAGGATGCAGCAGCCCCTTAATGACACATTAGTGCCATCCAGACAGGGTTAATGCTCTGGCAAACACCGAGTCAAGAGTGTAATTGTCCCGCTGGGTGCTCTGTTTAGACGTAATGGCACCGTCTTTACATTACAGAGGTTTATGCTGAAGTCTGAAACTGTTAGGATTGTTTTGTGATTAATTATTAATGCAAATTAAAGTTCATTAATAAATCATTTGCATTAATAGTCATGGGTGTTTTATAAACTGGGAACTGTAATGAAACTACATGCACGTTCTTTCACAATTCATTATGCTAATTGGATTTAATGGCCTAATAATTGCATAGCTGGCCTTGTTAAAAAGAATTACAAATGTTTTTACACTTCTTGAAAATGCCTGTATGTGCCCAGTTGTCATTTTGAATGTCCTTCCTTGTGAAAGTGAAATTTTAAGATCCATATTCAAAGGTATATGAATCTCCATCTAAAAATCTATGAACTTTCATGCTGTGATTTTGCAAGAGTGCTCTTCAGCTTTGCCAGATGTTT